CAGTTGTGCCATAGACACGCAAAGCAAGACCTCAGAGTTATTCATGCTTAAAACTGCTTAGTTCCCTGAATATCTCATTACAACATTTTGTTCTGTAATAAAAGACCACAGTTCGTTGTTAGGTGCTGTACTCGCAATTCACACACTTAAATGGAGTCTGTGAATTGGAAAGAGTTTATTAAGGACACATGTTTCTACCTGACAGCACTCTGACAGTGTGGACACAGTTTTCCAGCATAATAAATCACAAAATTTACCACAGCCCTCAGCAGATACACACTGTATTAGTACCAAACATAAAAGCAATTTTCATAGTAGCAGAGAGACCACTTAATAAAACAGCAATTTTCTTACATGCAGTGACAATTTACCCTTCCTGTGGTCAGCGCTGATTCTTTGCAAAGTCTCCACCACAACAACGATTCGAGTTGCCGGTGCCGGGATCTGACAGTGCAGGTCGCCGGACCTGCAAGCCGGCTCCCTGTCGTCAAAATGACGGGAAAAATGAGTATAGGCTGAATGACTTCTCTTCCCTCTTTTTGAACAAATTGTACACTTATACAAATTTCACCCGTGTACCACAATCATTAGTAGTCTACACTTTACCCACAGGAGCACTGTGGAGTAGAGCAGCAGCAGAAAGGGCCCTATTATACAAATACGCACTCTAAATGCACTGTAGCAGTTGACTGGGAACGTTCGGGACTAAGTAGCCTCAAAAGCTTTGATTTCGATGCACTGCTTTGACTGTGCTGGGTTACTCCTGCTCCTCTTGTTTGTATCTTTGCAGTCTTCTTGCGTCTTGCTTGTGATCATTCTCCTCCATGGTGCGCCGTGACCCACGCTGCAGCCGAGCCAGTTGATGGAGAGATGATTACATACACACATACATACATACATAGAGTACACACAATTTGATGAATTAATGTTAATGAGGCCACAGACTGTATAGCTAAGTGTCGGGGCAGACTAAACACAACTCATTAAGATCATTACTAGCTAACTCGTTCTTCTGTGACCTCTGTGTGATCCTTACCACGCAAAGTGTGTGTGTGTGTGTGTGTGTGTGTGTGTGTGTGTGTGTGTGTGTGTGTGTGTGTGTGTGTGTGTGTGTGTGTGTGTGTGTGTGTGTGATATTGAATGATCTAAACCCTTACCTTAATATGATGCACCCTGTAACTGGGGGTTGGTTTGTATGTTTTAAAATAAAAAAATGTTGATCATATGCTACTTTAATGATTATAAATATAGACATGGGCTTCATATGCATTTAGATTGCTAGACTGATGAGAGTGTAGAGCGACACTCCAATTTATGATTATTGTAGCCACTCAAAAAATGATCTAATCTCTGAATTAACCTATAACATGTTCATATAGATCTTTCTTGGTATTAAAATTGTACAGAGTACTTGCCTGTGCAGTTAGTAGAAGGGTAGTAGAAGGGACATTATATACAGTATGATATAATTTTAAGACTTTGTTAAACACAATAAGGAAATTAACTGGCTCAAAGTGCTAACATAACAATATTTATTTCACGTCTTTACCCAGCCATCTAGGGAAAGAAGCAAAGGGATTTCTAAAGGGTGCAGAGACTGAACCGTGATAACATGGGAAATCAAGGCTGAAAATGAGAGAACAAGCATGACTGAACTGATTTGAAACCAAGATGTAGACTTTTTTCTTTTTTTCCTCTCAAGCAGCATCACAGGAAAGAAAGGAGCAAAGATAAAAAGAGCCTGTGGCAGCAGTGGAACAGCTGAAGGGGGAGTTGGAGGAAGTTGGCTTCCTCCCAGCGATGTAACATCACACACTACGTTATGCAATTATACTTTATATGCAGTTTATACATTTGTCGTTTTGAAGAAAGACTAGAAATGTCTCTTGGAGATGCTTTGAAACTAAATAAGCAAGAAATTAGATAAGGCGAAGAATAAACGAGGAATTAGCGTTGTCTGTGCTTAATTTTCCTGAAAACTGGGATTGCAAAGAATCCTTATTAGCGTGAGAACAGACTCTAAGTTCCATGAGGGAGGGCAGGTTAAATAATAAAGAAAAACTAGTGTATGGACAGGAAGGAAGGACAAAGTACTGCAGATGAATGACGGAGAAAGAGAAGGCAAACAGAATTTCATCATGAAAGCCTTATTTCAATAAAGTTCTTCAAACACGGGCCTGTCCATCACAGCTCCAGCACACTTTCTTCTCGCTCCCTGTGTTCTCCCTTTTGTGTCATTCTTCCTTGTCTGAAGATGGCGTCCAAAATGGTGCAAGCATTATCAATTACCATCCTCCTTTTTTCCCCTCTCTTTCCCATTATTTTCTTCCTCCCATCTCCGGGCGTATCCTCCCACCCACCCCCAACTTCTTGTCACTTCCTCTCTACACTTTTAATGTTCTCTCCTTTCTACCTTATCTCCTCTTCACTTTCTTCTCCCCCATGTCCTGCTTTTTGAATTTTGGATCTTCCACCACGACTGCCAGTATGGCCACAGCAGGAACAGTCTTACAGGGACACACACACACACACCTCTGTTCTCAATCGCACACTTTTCCAGAAGCCATAATTACCTTATGCAAATAAGATCAACAAATAAACCGTCACATCCTGCTGGGCGACAGCATTTAAGATGCCAAAAACCAAATTCAGGAGCTCATTTAATGAGAACAGAGGTGATGAAAGAGATACAATATTTACCCTCAGTCTCACAAATTATTCCAGTGTCTTATTCCCCATCGGCCCGAATTAAGGTAGCAATCAAGATTCTTTATACAATGAATTATTATGTTATTTTGAGTGTAAGTAAAAGGGTGCATTCTGAATTGCCTAATTTGATTGAGGTGCAAGTGTCAGTGTTTTCCTGGAAACAATTTGCTTCATTAGTTGCTCACAGCAAAGCAGATGAAGACATGCATGCTGTTTGTATCTCAATGTGTGACATAGATAAATGGTGTCTTATGATAACAGAGGTTTTTATTTGGTCAAACCTTGTCATGCATCTTCTGTGTTGCTTTATTGTTAACATTTGCTGGAAAGTGAAGCCAATGTGGAAATTCCTCAAACCTCTAAAATTATGGCGATTCCCCAGGTTACAAAAAGTCAGTTTCTGTTGTATATGAGAAAATGACTCAACCTTACACCATTTTTAGAGTTTTAGTCAATGTTAATTTGTAAATGATGGTACCATTTAGAGTAAAATAGATGATACCTTGTAATTGACATCCAATAGGTTCAAGTGGGCATGCAGTGTCTCTCAGTCTGGCTTATTCCCTGCTCCTCCTAACATGGTTTCTTCTGGTTCCAATAATCCAAGATAGCACTGACCAAAATGCCAAACGCAAGGCTCCAGTTCACAAACCAATGGGTGACATCACAGTGGTTGCCTCTTGTTTGATTAGAGCAGCAGATGACAGCAATTTAGGGTAAAAATATATAGAGAGGCAGAGGGAGTTTGTATGTAAGATCCTGCTTCTTGAATACTAAGTTTATTTTCCATCCACTGTGACTTAAATTAATCATAACAAATGAATTCATAATGGAAAAAGTAATAACCAATCTTTATTGCAGTTCAGGTTGGTTTATCAACAGTCTCAACGGTTACACAGTATAGTCTATTGTGTAATGGTGGCCCATCAGGAAGCTGCGTTTTGTGCAGCATAGGATTTGTTTTTTATAGCAGGAGTGACCTCTGGGACAAAGCTGAGTGGTGGCACTGGTTCCAGTCCAATGAAGAGATTGTAATGTCTTTCAAATGAATATGAGAAACAGTTTTCAGTGTGATACAGTTTGTCTATCATGCTCACAAAAGCTTTTCCATCATTTGGGGTCTTGCTCCCTCTTTTTTGATAATGTATTCCTGTTGTGCCCTTTTCTTCTGCTATGATCTAATGGCACTCGACTCAGTGTCACCAATTGTTCACCTCAATGCCGAACTCTAAATATTTGCATACCAACAGTGGATGGGAGCACATTTTAAATTTCTTTAGCAGATATCACAGTGTCCCTCTTTCCTACATCGACCTTGCATATTGAGCTTGTGCAATTTTCATATCGTAATAAAGATTCTTCCTAACCTTTAAGAGTGTATTCTAAAAAGGAAAGTGATATTTAGAAGTTCAATTTTGAGACTATAAACAAATATATTTCAGCTCTTTCTTGACATTATTATTTTCTTTCTGATCTATTACTGCAAATTAGTCTTAACTTCATGGTGATTCATGAGAAGGCGGAAATTAGCATAAATCATAGATATGTGGTGTCAGTAGAAGATTTTGGATTGAGGATTTTATTTTATTTTTTTACGTGATTTTAACAAGAAGTACAGAAATAAAAGCAGTTGTACCACATCAGTAACACAGTAGGAAGAGGAAGACTTCAGGCCACCTTTATTGGCAAATTGCACTTAATAAATGGGCTTAATGTTTGCTGTACATAGGCTAAGTGGAGTACGTTTTAAAGCTGGCAAGAATTTTAAAGGTTCAGTGTAAAAGATTTAAGGTGATTTATTGTTGACAAGATTTACAACTGTGATTTAATTCGCATTTACTATCTGAAACTAGGAGTTAATGTATTTTCGTGAGCTTAGAATTACAGCAGGTCCCTCCCACAGAGCCCACCATTTGGCACCACCGTGTTTCTACAGTATCTCAGAATGGAAAAATCTATTACTGGCATCTAAAGAGGGCTTTTCCTCTTCTTTACATCACCTGAAGGCCACCAAATTCTCCTAAATGCGTGGAAAGGCAGGGGTATTCTGTGGTACTTTAAGTGGTCAGATCAGTAGCCATCATGTTTATTCACCTATGGCAAAGGGGCCAGATCTACTAGTCCACTTTTTTTATTTGCTTTTATTCAGAGGGAGTGGGGCGTGATAATCATTCTAAGGATAACCACATTCTGCTCTTAGCACAGTATCCATCCAATATCCCTCGAAATAACCCAAGCATGAAATAACCCATTGTGTGTAAACAGGAGAATTATATTCCACTTTTTCACAGGCTGACCCCAAGGAGCTGATTCGATTGGTGACGCAGCACGTGTCTGCTTACTCGAGTTGGCCGGAGGATCTGCAGAAGTTGATAGGTCAGCTGCATGTGTACAACGAGCGTCTTACTGACTTCACCCAGGCCCAGTTGTTGCAGGGGCTGGGCCGCGGCGTAGACGTCCAGCGCTTCAGCTCAGACTCCGACTACAAGAAGGAAACCATTCTTGGCCTAACAGAGTAAGCAGGGAAGGGACTGAACTGCACCGTTATTACCATGTTTCCTAATTTGAATGATTAACCTTTGCAATTTGACATAATCATTCCTACAGTCTGTGCTTGAGTCATTTTTTACAACACACATTTTTGAAATCTAATCCTTTTTTTTTCCCTCCTTTCTGCTTGTGTGTGGTTGTCTGTATTTGTTTAGGACTCTGGATGACAGCGTGTACAGAATCGCTCTGTCTCTGGCTAAGCGCTACAGTGTGCCTCTGTGGGAGGTCTACATGACTCACCTTGAGTTCCTCTTTACAGATAGCTGGTAAATGCAATCACACACATGCAAACACAACACTTTCACATTAGCTCTCTCACATTGTTCCCATCTCATTTCCCTCATCTGTGTCATTCACATTGCTTTTGTCATTGCATCAGTTTGAATTATTTTGCCCCTCTAATGATGTTTTGGGAAATAAATATGTGTGGCTCATGACTATATGTATTTCCATCCCTGTTATGATCTGTCATGCTTATGCACACACAATAATCCCTAAGTTAAATGAAAGAATAGGAAATTTAAGGCCACTTTCCAGTTGAGTTACAACTAAACATGGCTCGTAAGCACAGTAAATCAAGAGTGTGTGTGTGTGTGTGTTGAAGAGAGAGGGAAAGCTAAGTGTGTCTATAATTTATTTGTCCTCTGACTTCATACCCATGGGATCTGACTAGCTCTGCACCTTTCCTTGTTTTAATAGAATTCCTTTTCAGCGCTTTCAATATGTGTGTGTAAGTGTATGAACACGTGTGTGTGAATCTGTGATAAATATCCCCCTGTCACATTCTGATATAGGGAAATGGTTTATGGACTTCTCTTAACGATAAATTAAAAAACCTAGCCCCTCAGAAGACCCTACCATGTTTTGTGTGTGTGTGTGTGTGTGTGTGTGTGTGTGTGTGTGTGTGCGTGTGCGTGAGAGAGAGTATGAGAGAGATTTTTGTCCAAATTCTCAAGAGTGTGACAAATGCACAAAGAATATTCATAACAATATCTTGCATCTAAAATATGCATATTGATTTAACACATGGCTGGACGCAATGACTGATATAAATTGAGTAGACGGTGGAAAACTGCAGACAGAGGCACAGGTGCAAGATGGAATTTAGACTTTCATTGATCCCTTCAGGAAACTGTTCTCACACACACACACACACACAAATGCGTCCTTGTAGTTCTGATGCCACTGTGGATATCTGCACCACTTGTAATAATACAGTGGAAGGGTGATAAATGAGAAAATGAATAAATGTGCGGTATTTGTGAAGAAATGAATGGAAAGAGCTGCTGAGCTTTCAGCACTGAGCTTTACAAACACACAGGATGGAGGGAAAGGTCATTAGGGAGAGAGAAATAACCCTAGAATCAGTGAGTGCAAGGAGGGAGGGGCAGATAAATGGAGGAAGTAGAGATGGATGATAGAGCCGGAGTGTCCCTGCACCACTGTTAACACAGAAGAGATGCTTTGGAGGAATCAATGCACTGCTAAACACCGCCATCGTCAGCTAGCCCATTAGGGACATGAATTTCAGCAAGTAATGACATTTTAATGACCCCTATTAAAACCATTTAAATAACTTGTCCAACACAGAAAGCTGAAGATGTGCTCTCAGAAGTCACCTGTCAATTCGCTTGTAGCATATATGTGTTTTTTAAGCTTTTTCTTTAAGCACGATCATTTTTATGAATTTAGTTTGGTTTCAACTGTTGCAAACTCAAATAACATGTGAGCGGAAAATCAGTTTTCTCCAAGTGAAAACTGCATGCTACTATCTTGCAAAACGAATGCTTGCAAAGTTTCCTCCAAAATATCACCATTAAACGCAAATTTTTACATAACATCACTGATACTCGTCTTGCTGGAGTTGTTATTGATTTATTTTGGTTGAATGAAATGAACCGTGGATGACTTCAGGCTGCACACACAGATAATGTAGTTTATTATGTCCCGAATATATTAAAAATATATTAAGTCTGAATATTTTGAAATTCAGCTTCTCTCTCTTTCTGTTGCTGCCGTTTCACCATAGGTGTTATTTCACAGTAAGGGAGCGATTGTTGATTTTATCAGGTGATCTCTATAAATGAGTTTAGACGTGTGCATGAGGATTGTGACATGCTACGAGCTGTCACCTTAGAGCATTCTACACTTAATAATCTGGAATATTTCTCTCAAATGAAGGTACTGTATCGTGCGTCTTGCTGTGTGCTTATTTGAGTGTGCATAGCATGCTAATGAGCTTCCCTGGAGGAAAAAATATATATTTGTAGCATTCAGTGTGAATGTGGCTCATGCTGCTGCTACACACAGGTTGACTACAGTTCATGTGTTCAGCTACAGTCGTGCTGTTATTTAGGGATTATTGATGTGCTGTGACCATGACCTTGAATATGACTGTAAGCATGCTGCCTGGAGTCATGGTGGAGAACCACCAAGAGTAGGACCTGAACTGACAAATATAATTGCATAACCTTTGGTTGAGAAATGGTTTCACTTGTACAAAAACTGTATTTCTGACTGACTTGAAACGGGGACTACTTCAGACACGTCATGCCAAATACATGGTTCATGGGCAATTAGGGTTGACATCTCAGACAATGCAATCAGGCCATTTCCACCACCTGCTTCTCTTTTATCCTGCTGTCACCCTGCTGGTGCTTTTGTGATAGAATGGGAATATGAATATTCGTTTCCAGCCTGAAAGGCAGGGGAAAAAATAACTACATATATTTAGCCGTGCGAGCAGAAGGGCTCTATGTGCAGCAATATCAGGTCTGTTGGTCACTATTAATCTAAATACCATCACCATGTGTCTTTTGTCCAAATACCTGCAAAACTAACTAATCCCATCGGTGTTAATTTCACTTGCGTAAGCATTATTATAGGTTTTATGGCCCGTCACTTTTCTATTTTGACTCATATTTTGTTGATGCAGCAGGGACTTGTTTTAGCAAAAATATTGATTATTTATTTAATGTTGATTTGTGTGTGATTGTAATCACACATGTTTAATTGGGTAAAATCTTAGTTAATTGTCCTGTTTTGATATTATTAACAATGGGGACTGGCAGAAGAAAGCCTGACAATCAGCTGTGCACATCTGACCTGCTGAAAAGAAATTAAATGTGCGTGCATTGGTCGAAAGCGCTTTTCTTAGTCTTGGCTACCAATCAAAACACTTTACTCTACAAGGCTCATTCACACACATATAGCACTTCTATCACACAGTAGCTACCAGGGCAATTTGGCATTCAACGTCTTGCCCAAGGACACTTTGGCATGCAGACTGGAGGAGCCAGGGATCAAACCACCAACCCTCTGCTCAGTGGACGACCCACTCTACTGAGCTGCCCGTGCCCTGAACTCTCCCATACAAATGCACTTTTGCACCCCCTGGACTGTAATTTGTAAACAAATTAGCAGCACAGATCATAAAAGAGGAATAATAAAAAAATACAGCTTGCATCAATTCTAACAACAATGATGTACTGAATAATCATCAGTGCTCTCCAAGAGCTTCATTGTAGTTGTCTGATTACCATGGTAATTAAATAGGCCTCCGAATTTAAGAATATTATAAGCTTGATGCTCAGACCTGACAGAAGTGACAACAAACACAATGTGGTAATGTGATACGGGGAAGAAGGGAGAGGACGAGCATGGAGAATACTGATTAAATTGGTTCCTCACTTCGGCTTTTTGAAAAATAAAAAGATTGTAATGAGAAGCTCTGACATTAGAGCCTCACGAGTGCAACCGAAACGGAGCAGGAAACTGTGAGAGAGAAATACCACCAAGTGAGCAGCATCAGCACAGGAAGCGTGCACTAGACTCATAATACAACTATCAGGGACGGAGATGCCGAACAAAAAGATGCTGAAATCCACGAAGAAAGAAGAGAGGAGGTGCTTGCAACCTGAGCAAAGAGAGTCGCAAAACATTATTTTGAAAGAGATGAGGATACGCAGGCGTGTGTTTTCATGCCTGTGTGCACTCCTTACCCTCCTCAAACAGCCGTTATACCATTGTTCTCTTGCCTTTCAGTTACTTTGGAGCTAATGTGATTAAAAAGTGAAACATCAAACCTTGACTGGGGTCTCAAGCCTCCTGTTTGTTTGTGCACTTAGCAGTCGGTTGTTGTGTTGACTCAAGTCTTATTGGAGCCCCTGTTGTGAGGGTGATTAATGCTATTTACATTATCGAGCCCATTGTCAGCTGCTGCACGCCTGCCCCTCTGTCTATACTTTCTTCATTAGCCAGCTGATGGAGTGCCCAGAGGAAACATTGTCCTCTTTGATGTCGTCCAGTTCCCACAGATAAACTGACTCGCACGTTACCGCGCTCGCAGACAAGCCGCCGATCGCTCTGAGCACCGCGGCAGCTGCCAACAGCTAGCCTCTGCTCGCCTTTGCCTCTAAATTCTTTGTATCGTTCCATGTTTCAATTGTTGTCTTTGCGGATCTTTATTTTGTTTGTGTTCTTTTTCATTTGGCCTCTCTTGCTCAGGCCACCTGCTGCTGTTGACTTTTAGTTCTGTGGTGTAACACGTATTTTTTATTTTATGAAAGGCAAAGCAGTGCACAAGCTGTACAAAACCTGAACGAATTGCTGAATAGGTTTCCGCGCAGATCTCTTCCACTCTATGAACTCAGTATTTCACCCTCATCTTCACCGCCTTACTGATTCTCTTATATTTTTCTCTGTCGCTCTCTCTCATTTTTTCTTCTTTCTCAATTTTGCCATTTTCATATCAGAGCTGACCAAGTTCTTCAACGTTTTCTCAATAGTAATCTATAAAATCCTCAACCTTTTTTGGAGGGACTGTATCTTTGGTGATAAGCTTGGAGATTGCTGTGCTGTTTTTTTTGCACAGCAGTTTCCATAAAGCACCACCAAATATTCTCCAGTGCTGCTTTCTTCTCCCTTTGATGGTTGAGGAAATTTGTTTTTTCGTCAGTGGTGCTGTTTTGTCTTATCTTTTTCAGGCCTGGTGGCTGCTGCTTCTAATGTGTACAACTTAGATCTTCACATGTTTTTCTATCAAACAAACTGTTTCTGATGCCAGAATCTTAAAGTTTTTCACAACCGGTAAAACCAGACGATATTTTCTGCAGAGAGGACGTATCTCACACAGCAGGTGTTTACAGCAGCAAATGTAAAAAAGTTCTCAAATCTTTGAATACAGAATAGACCGGGTTATTATTGTCTTTATTGGTATCAAAACATTTTGTATTATTACTGCACTTTCCATTTGAAATTGCCAAATACATTAATTGCCATAAACTCATTATTTTGTCTATTTTTCTTTATTTTTCTTCCTTCCTACCTTCCGTCATTCCTATACCTCTCTTCCTCTTTCTTTCTTTCTTTCTCCCCCAGCCTTTCTACCAAGGATATTGAATCCCGGAGCGAGTCCCTTCGTCTCTTTGACACTTTGAAGACTAACCCTCAGGCATTCTATGGCCACATGACCAAGTACGTCCTGCCGACTGTGGAGGGAACTGACCTCGGCCGTTTGCTCTACTACTACACCCTCCTGGACACTGCAGGCTGTGAGCCTCACGTCACGACCACCATCAAGCCAGACTCCCATGTCAAAATCCTTAAGAAGCTTCGAGCTGTCGCCAATGGTGAGATTCTTGTACTTTTTATTTCTGTGCAATTGTGATGCAGATGGTGTAGCTGCTTCATAACCAGAGGGCAGAGTGCGAGAAGAACAAAAGGCAGGAATAGTATGTCTGTATCACAAAAAATGTGGCCAATGTGTAAAGAGAAATAAGCTTTACAAATGTGTACAATCATTGCTCGCAACTGAGTGTTCAAATCCACACACATACAGTTTGCCAGCCAATTTGTGCATATATAAAGCAGTGTCACAAACTGAATATAATAAATATATTTCTCACAGATTTTTTACTTTAACTGATCTAATTAATGTTCGGCATAGACGCACACAGATTCACAAATGCATGTTGTGTGCTGGGGCATCTGGGTTTTCAGTGAATTTGTATATCTAATTTTGGAAAAGATGGTTGTCTAAATGGACAGAGTTGTTAGTTATTCTGCTTATAGTCATATAGACAGACAGACAGATGTTTACATAAAACGATGACTAATAATGATGTGGATGTAATATTTGCTTTAAAAATGCATAATTGTCTCTGTGAGTCAGAAGGAAAACATTTCCAAAAGCTTATACTATTTAGTTTGAACTCAATTAGACTGCGAGTAACAGAACTGACAATGGCCCTAATTTGTCAGACAACCGTGTGTGTCTGAGAAGTGAGAAGCATTTAAAAAAAAAAAAAAGCAGTCAGATTTGAAGGATTAATGCAACTCTAATATTGGTGGGAAATCAGCCTGAAGACTTTAATGTCAAGAAATCAAGTCCCCTGTTGGGGACCTGAATATAATCCCCAATGACATGATTGATGACTCACAGACAAATGCTGATGTCCCCTCTGGCCGGTCGATAACCTCTGAGCCACAGATTGTCATGTAGAGTTTAAAAATACAACAGCTGCTGTTTTGCTGCTTGATAAAACAAGCAAATATTCTTACATTTTTCTCTTGAAACACATGAAATACTCGTAATGATTTTCTTTTATCTTGACCTCGTCTTGTCTTTTGATCTCACTGTTCCTCTTTTGCTCCACCAAATCTCCTGTAAAAAAATTCTAAAATTGAAAACGGGATTAAAAAAGACATAAATATTCACTTTCCCTATAAACACAATGATAAATCCACCCCTGTGCTTCCGCTCAATATGCACATCGATCTCCTGAAACGACGGTGTCACAGTGAGATGCTGCTTCCGCTCAAATTTCCGAGGCTGAACCCGCTCCAAGGACATCATGTCCAGGTTGCAGCGTGTCAGCGTGCTTAAACTTTGTTGTGTACAGGTGGAGGTGGTGTCACCTCTCTGTGAAGTTCAGTAAAGGTCAGCTGGGTGTCAGCTGTGTTTTCACGCCTCACTTCTTCCTGCTGCTCCAAATAACACCACAGCTTTTACCGGTGACACATGTCTCTGTTAAACACCCCTCAGACATACACACACCTGTGAGACATCCACTTCAAGATGCTTTTTTTTCTACATAAACCAACAAAAAGTGGAATTGGCTTTAAACTCACACTGCCACTGCTGCATTTCAGTTTCACTCACATCACTGCTGTACATAAGCAAAGTGTTTGTCAAGCCCCAGATACTTTTTACCCACAATTCTTCTTGATTTGTTTTTTTTTCAAAAGAGTGGTTCTTCGATTTCAGACAGTTAAACAAAAGAAGCTATGGGCTGAACAGCTGATTGCAGGATTTGTCAGCTGTTGCGAGCTAGGAATTTAGGCTAACTAAAGTTTTTTTGTTACGGTAAATAAATGACCTGGATTGTTCTTATAATGTTGTTTATTTGTGCGAGTGTTATAAGTTATATAACGGTTTGGTTGCTAGCTTGCACACCTGTTGATAGTTTTAAAGAGTTTCACTATTTTGATTTTAAAGGTTCAGTGTGTAGAATCTAGTGACATCTAGTGGTGAAGTTGCATGTTGCAGCTGAACACCCCTCACCTCACCCTCCTCTTCTAAACATAAAAGAGAATCTGTAGCAACCTTCAGTTGTCATAAAAACTCAAGAGGTTTTTAGTTTGTCCAGTCAGAGCTACTGTAAAAAACATGGTGGCCTCCGTAAAGAGGACCCGCTCCAGATGTAAATAGGGCACATCCCTGATCACTGCTGCATAGACTCTGGCTCCATATGCACAAGATGGCAGTGTTCGTATTCAGGATATTTTGGCTTCATTTCTGAATAGTGCGTGTCCCTCTTTGTGTGTACAAGGGTTCACAAGGGTTTTTTACAGAGTGTAATCTGAAACACCACATACTACTAGAGTGTTGATGATGTATTCATAGGCATTGGATGTAGAGCTTTGTAACTAAGTTAGCTAGTTTTTCCATTGCCCATTCAATAAAATAATAATAAAAAAATAAACAAATGATTTAAGCCTTTGCCGAAACAAAACTATTACTGTTGAATTTTTGGCTGTGGCAGGACAAGCTTATATGTATCTCTCGTACTACAGCCACATGCAAAATCTAAAACAAGCTACAACACATACACACATATAGGCATGTACTTCACCTAATTAATTATAGACTTACTGATAATAACTGATAATAACACTCTCTGAATCACACACATTCACACTCCTGTAGCAAAACTGACACACAGTCTGTTGCGGTGTCTCCAGGGCCACCAACTTTCTACTAACGCTATCCAACTTTGACACATACACACACACACACGCGCACACACACACATACACTTACTAAATTACTAATTTTCAGTCCTGAACAGACACATGCAAACTAACCCACACAGACCCACTTACAGAGGCATACAGACGCTGCAGAGACAGGTGGTGTGTGACCAATATTCATCACAATTTCAGACACAGTACCAGGTGACTGTCTGAGAGAGCTCTCCTGAGGATGAGAATGAGATGCTGCTCGGGTTTGGAAGAGACAGAGGCAGCGAGAGGAGTGAGACAGGGGGAAAGAGACAGAGAGTACATGTGTAAGTGCATGTAAGTCTTATCTGCAGTTAAAGTGTCCGTCTGGGCCTGTCTGAAAGTGAGTGTGTGTGTGTGCGTGTATATGAGTGTGTGTGGGGGGGAATTCCGATCAGGGTTGACTGAGCCCTCCCCACCGGCAGACCAGTCTTAAATATTTAAAGCCCAGACAGGCTTTGGTGTTGCCACAGTAATGTGTCTGTCTGATAGTGCAGGATGCCACCAGCTCTCTCGGTTTGTGTCTCTCGCTCTTTCACTCACTCACTCACACACGTTTGTACAGCTATCTTAGTGAGGACACTCATTGGCATAATGCATTCCCCAGCCCCTTACCCTAACCATCCAAACTAAATGTCTAACCCTAACCCTTAACCTAACCTATTTCTTACCCTAACCCCCCCCCCCCCCCCCCCCCCCACACACACACACACACACACACACACACACACACACACACACACAGTCTGGGGGATGTGATGCACATGGACAGACCCAGAGACAACCTCTACACAGACAGCAGCACTTTCACACTTAGGTCACATGCAGTCTATGTTGTGTACTTCAACCTTTTACTGTCGTCTGTTATTCATGTCTCCTCTGCCACGCCTTGTTTCAGTTATGCGAGGGAATACTGAACATCCTGTGCATTTTACTGTAATTATCCTGGAAGTGCTGCACGGTTTTCACATATGTGACTATAGCAAGTACTGTGCTATGTACACAGCATTAAGTGCCTTCAAATAGGCGTCTCTGACACATAAGAATATCCGGCCTCTCAGACAATGCTGCTGTTCTATTGTGCCTCTGCCTTTGTGCTAACTAAATGTACATCTATTTGCAGGCTTAGATTATCGCAAGCTGACCGATGAATCCTTGGATCCGCTGGTCACTCTGAAGTCAGTTCTGACCAGTCAGAACGTACTGTCCATCTCCAAACTCGCCAATCGTCTGCCTGTGCCTGGTGGCGGAGGAGCAACGGTGTCCCCCAGTGCAGTCCATTCAGTGTGGCTGCAGAAGCTGTTTTGGAAAGGAGACCCCCAATTGCTGAAGAGGCCCCCACAGAGCGACCAAGACTACCTGCAGGCTTACGACACCTGTGCCAAGTATCTGGACAGGCTGGTCCCTGCTGACATGGTTCACCTCCTTGATAATATCACCTTTTCACCTGACGCAGCCAAAATTGTGAGTCTGGGCCAGAAAACAGTATTGATGTTTCCTGAATTACAATATTTTCCATATGATTTACTTTTTGTCAGATAAAGATGACTTGGAGGACACAGTACAGTATGAAAGAGGCTACTAAAAAATTGTGGGGTTTTCCGTCACTACATCATATTCCTCTGTCAATGGCTCTAGGTCGTTTTATATGCCTCAGACTAAATTTGTGGATCATCAAAACCAGAAGAAAATATATTATTCTGTTCACCTCTTCACTCGATAACTTTATGATTCAATTAAATTTATAATATCATGAAATTGCACAAGACATATCTGCGACAATCTTGCAACACTGTCCTGCAGAGTATTTAAACGTACAATAGTAATTTTGGCCAGTAGGGGTCTCTCATTCAACAATAACAAAAGAGCTAGTTTGATGATGTCGTGAAGCAGCGTGGGATTATGGGATTTGTTGTCTCAACCAGCACATTCCCTTTACTGGGAGAGCTTCGGTGACAGAAAGCTCAGAATGGCCAGTAAAAACAATGGCAGGAAAAAACAGCCAACTAGCTAACTGACTAGCAGTGTGCTTTTCATTAGTCGTATGTCCTTTACCCGGGAAATTGTAGCAAAGATAGACACAGCCATGGGTAAAGACGAAATATGACGCAATTAAAATGTGGAGAGAATTACCCGTCTTGTCACCTTATATAAAATTGGTTGATTTCTGTGGGTTTACACATTGTTGGTAATATTTTTGATAATGTAAGTATTACACAAGTCAACGAAATATGGAGAATAGGTCTAGTTTTAATAAAGAATTGTTACATATTATATATTAATCTTTTTTTACATTTGCACCTTGCAGCCTCACCTCTCTAGACACTTCCATTTCTCATACCCCATCTTTTTCCCCATAACCCCAGGGGAGCTAATTGATCCCTCTCTATTTCAGAGCCAATTAAACCCCAACTCCCAGCAGGCTTTGTTTTCCCACTGTGCTTTTTAACATGCTGAGTAACTTCCTCAGTTAATACTCTTTGCTCCTTCTTCCCTCCCCTTCCTTCTCTCTTTATTTTTTTTAACCTTTTTGAACCCTTGAAATTGAGAACTGTGACCCCCCTCATTCTTCAAAATGCATCTGACCTTTTGCATCCCCATTGCCCCCGATGATAGATTGATCCATTCCCCACAAGGCCAAGGGGCGAAATGGTGACAAGACTTAGCTTACCTCATACTGGGCATATTTTTAAAGGGAAATGTAGACTGTTGGCATTTTCCCTCCTCTGAAGTATTGATCTTTGATAACCTCTTTAGTAGAGATGTCCTCTGTTCCCCAACCTCCCAACTGGTTTGTCCAAGGCTTGAACTGACATTGGTTGTGAATGTCTATATGTAGCTCCACAGTTAAAGTACAGCTTGCAAATAAAACAACAGACCACATACAGCCTTACACACAAATGCATACACACACTTCCCCTTCAAAGAAATAATAATGGTTTGTCATGAAACTCCATTTTAGAGATTGTCCTGTCTTGGCCGTCAGGCTGTGTGTGAGAAGTATTTATCTGGGTGTGTGGCTGGGATAGCTGGAAGTGTGAAGCTGGGTGATTTTTAAGTGTCTTCTTGGTGTGAATGTGTGTGTGGGGCCTGTCAGCGCCTGTGTGATTTCATACAAGAGAGTAAAACCTGCTACAGCCAAAGGCCTTCTCTTCTCCCCATGAATGGTTAACCTCCTCTCACCGAATAGAATCAATTACACCAGACTGGCAGCTATGATCTCAACCTCTTTCAAATAAACACACACTCCTCACACACACACACACACACACACACANCACACACACACACACACACACACACACACACACACACACACACACACACACACACACACACACACACACACACACACACACACACACACACTACTTTTAGTTCCTTATGGTACTCTGGTGCTGATAGAGTAGGTTATACCTATCTATCTTTGACATGTTAAGTGTGAAATTAATGCTCATAACCTGTGCACCTCTCTCTCCCTCTGCTCCTTCATATGAACCTGATCCCCTACCAAATTCGCTTTCCTTATCCCTCTCCTCCTCTTCCGCTGTCTATTCCCTATACGTCCATCCTGTCCCGTCTCCAGCTGAGCATCCAGGCGAGGTCGGAGGTGATAAAGCGAGCCACCAAGGCCCTGCGTCAGCTGGCCGAGAAGAACCGGAAGAGAGGAGGCGATGGTGGTGGGGAGCACGAGGGGACGGGCCCAGCGGGGATGACTTTTGATGAGGCTCTAGCACACCTGCAGCAATCTCAGGCCCACCTGGACACTCTGAGCCATGATTTCATTCTGTCGTTCAGAGACAGCCAGCAGGTAGACCCCATCTTTCCAGACACTATATCCTACAGAATATTTATTTTTGAAGTGTTGTCAGAGATTTTCAGTTGTTTGATATAATTGTTATGTTTTTGTCTTTATCTTTATTGAAGATTGGGGTCTTTCAGTTCGAGAGCCCTCATTGTGGGTGCGTGAGTTTTACTTCTGACGGGCAGCCAGTACACGACTCTGAAAGAAGTAAAGCAACCGCACCCATGGTGAGGGCGGAACACTACGTCTGGCATTCTGTTTCTTGGGTTATATTGCCAGACTCGTCGCACAAAAAACTCCTGCTTGCAAACTGAAAGACCACACTGTTGAATAAAGATGAAAAAAAAACTTAAAATGTCAGATAATGCGGATATAGACCCTTATTTTTTGCTGTAGGTATCCATAGTTACATTATACTTAATCATCAGTATGATTTTAATGGGTATATGTAAGAGACTCTAGATATTGCATTAAAATGTTGCCAACAAAACAAAAATCCTGTGCTTAAGTGATAGTGGAAGAATATGTGCTTTGTCATCCTAATACAGTTCCAGAATTAGACTTACTGTAATTACCTCGATGGACTTAATTATATACTGCACTTAAGTTATGAATTATTGTACAGACCATATCATTATAGTTACTTTTTTTATTACTAAAATGGCACATTTCTTACACTAGATAAAGCAAATCACCTTCTTTATCATGTAACTCTGAGTGACTCTCACATCCTGTTACCCAGTTTGTTCATTAGGTCACCTTTAATTTGACATACAGGTTGTGTTTGTACTTCTTGTGGGCCTGCGTATATATGTGTGTGTTTGTGTGCGTGTTGTACATTTCTGGGGTTGTTCTGCTCGACTGAGCTCTTCCCGGTCTCACTGGGACCAGTCAAGGGTATATTAATGGAAATCTACGGGCTGCTGTTTCAAATGAGCCCTGCCGTATGGCTATATATACAGTATGTACACTGTGCTGTATCTCATTAGGCAAAGTCACAGTGACTTACCCCCGCTGTCACCTCCTCATGGCTGGCTATCTCTCTGTCCCTTTCTGTGTGTGTGTACATGGAGATGCACGCAGAGATGTTGAGAGTGGACGTTACGATTTGACCGAGCGTTGCTATGTGACCCTGAGATTATCCATGAAAAGTGGTCATTTCTGAGCAAGTTAATAACAGTAATAAAAGTAATGTTTAGCTCTTGGTTTATCTGTGTTTAAAAAGTATATACCCTCCACAACAGAGAGGAGGATACAGGCTGCACAAGAGCTGAGCTGTAGGCTAAAGCTTTAGATGCACACAAACATGTGGATGCACACCGCAAGCTCTATAATAAAACTTACCTTCTACTGGTGCAGGAAGCAATTGTATCCTTGGAGATAGATGAAAAGGGTATAAGGATCAGGAAAGGGCAGATTGGTAGAGAAAGATAGATAGAAGGAAGGAGCCCTGTGTGAGGTTCTTTTTGCCTGTACTGTGGTCATTTATCAAGTGTACGTGACCAGCTGCTGGGAATTATAGTGGATCATAGAGGAATCCACCACAGGTGCCTCGACCTGCTTCGAGGACAGCAAATTACCCACTGCAGATATTGTACAATATGTGGCACAATGGTACACCCATTGTAAAAATGTGTCATTATCCAGTACCGGCACAGAATAGTGGTAGGAAAGTCAGCTCGGTACAAAAATGTACAGATATAAACATGCATCCATCTGTCCTTCTTGCCAACTATATGTGTGTTTTTTCACTTTATTGAAAGTAATACAAATTCATCAAACAGCAGACACTCTTTGCATATAAGCAAATGCTAATTAGAATTTAAATAAATAAATAACAGAAAGTCTAGCAAAGACAATGACTAATAAACTAAGTCTTTAAATCATTTTCAAATGCAAAAAAGCCAGCCCAAAGCTGCCCGAAATGTCCTCATCCCCGTTTATGTGACCAAACATGAGGGTTAATGAGACTGACAAATTCATAGCTTATATTTTGTAGCTCAGCCTTTAAAAAGAATCTACAAAAACATTCTCCAAACACCGGCCACAGAACACTGTGGGTTCAAAGATCATTTTCTCTTTCTAGATCTACAACTGTCAGATTAATTTCCAAGAGTCTGCCAACCTGCAACACCCGAGACACCACAGTGATACATGATGCAGCAGCATCTGTCATTCCCCTGGCAAACAGCAAAACTGTGTATTTCCTACATCATTGTGCATCTAGCTTTTTGGAAACCTGTCACACCTCCAGGTTTTCACTGCAGAATGTTTCCTCCATTGATACTTCATTTACTGTGGCCTTTATAATCCCCCCTTTCTAATCCCATAAATGAGGCTCTTGAAAGGCTTCACTTTAGTGTCAACAAGCATATTATTGTGTTGCCTCTGTGACATGCATCACCCACAACCAGACTGCAGCTGTTTTAATACTGCAGATATAGATAGAGGTTATAAATAGAATCT